CACTTAGCATTATTTACTTTAATTGGACCATATAATTTGTTTTTTGAAGTTGTAAACAACGGACGCCAGTTTATATTCTCGCTTTCGTCGTTATTATCTTCCAAGCTCACCAACGACTCGGTTCGAAATGTTTTCAATTAGATCCACATCATGTTGTGAGTTTTAAATCGACTTTTATCTGGTTGCTCTCATTATCGTTTGTACTTATTAGAGGAAGAGACATTGATTTAGCACAGCGGGTGCTCAGCTTCACCCTTTAAAAGGAATCATATGCTGAGAGCCCTAATCCTGAGTCGTGTTCTCGCTGGCAACGGTTGAACGTAAGGTCCATTTCGGTGTTTTCTGCGTTATTCTATACACCTGGGATATGGTGAATTAGGAGCTCAGTATCGAGTATATTAATTTTAAACCAAAAATGCGAAGTACGAAGTTATAGCATTAAGCACTAATTACTTGCATATTAAGCTACCAGTGCAAATCACTAATTCCTGCGGCGAGACTTGTTAATCTGTCACACGACTCGCAATAGGTCAGGCCGGCACTGGCACGAAGCGCTTATTTAGACTGATACGGACGAAGTGAATTACTCAACGGTTGAAACGAGAATGGGAGAAAATTGGTGAGGATTTCTTCGTTTCGAATGTATTCGGTCAAAGAAAAGTTTCATCGAGAACAGTCGACTGATTATAACCAACTAGTGGGCATACTGCATGGAACTGCACCAGAACGTCTTCAAGTCATTTATTACACGAGACATGTAATGATATCAAAAGCATTAAACCTTGCAATTGAGAGATATATTTAACATGAGGTATGTTGGATACGGTTCGAAATGTATACGGGAATTTCTAAAATAAACTTAACTTTTCTATTTTAATAGGAATGTGATACTCATGTCTAGAAAAACTATCAAAACATATATCATCGATTTTAATGATATATCCTATCATAATTTAGAGGTATCGGAGGGTTTTTCGTATATAAGGAAGTCCGTTTTGATGGCTCTATACCACCGAATAATTCCAGTTCTTTTGACAGCATTCTGCCGGCCCCTCCAAATTCGGTCGAGTTTGCCAGAAAGTGGCGAACATGGTACGATTGTGCCTGCACTTTATTGAAGATTTGAAATATTCGGAAGTAAACGGCTGTTTTCTTTCAAAGCAAATTCTGCATAACACGAAACCTGCCCTAAGAAAAAAGTATACGAACGCAGAATTCCAGCGGGTACTTCAAACCTCTATTATATTACCCCTGAGTTGATGTAGCATGAGTATATTTCACCTTCCCCGTCGCATGATTAAAGTAACTTCGTTGCGCTTTCTGAGCAGTCTTTAAATAAGCTATAGAAAATCAAGCACCCAACATCAAGCAAATGCACGAAGAAAATTATTTTCATTCTCTCTCTTATAACGAATAAGAATGTCTCTTCCGTGAAAAGTTGTAATTCCGTGTTAATTTATACCCCTTTGTGTTAGTCCTTTTTTAATTAAATAACTTGGAGTGAATCACCTTTCGCGAAATGAAACATCCATTCCTAAACCTGCGTTGCTTTACCTTGTGCCTGTTATATGTCCGGCGTTCTAAACGTTATATCACTCCTACAAGGTTTTGAGCCCGCACAGTTTCCTTGAAATTCACAAATGCTTATTAGTATTTGGTGATTGAATTAGGTTGTGTAAAATAATATTACCCTGTAACAAAATGGACGTAGAACTAAAATTCTTACTCACTGATTTCTAGAATTTGATTCTACCCGACCGCATTAAAGGGGCACAATTAGGCTACGGTGTCCTATTTATCGTTAAAGTAGTTAGAGAAAAAACAATGACAGGGAAGGCAAAGGTGTAAATCACTAATTATTGTAACGAATACTCACTGTTCAAATAATACTATAACGATTAAGACAAAATTTTGTTTTGGTTTATTGGTTTTAGAGAAATGACGTAATGAACACAGACCCCTTATCAATTATAACAGACTCTTTAAACGGAGAAAAAGTAAGACAGATTAAATTTTGAATATGAAGACAAATATTGCACACAGGAAATCTCAGAATACGTTTTACATACCTCTGCGTCATGTATAGGGGTCTCAGATGATCAAATTGTGCTAATGAACATGTAGTGAAGTTTCACATAACGAAGTTGCCCCTGATTAGTAGGCAACTCTTCATGTACCTTTGAAAACTAATGCTTGAGATTATGCTTAAAAATCAAGAGAGAAATGGCACATATGTAACTCCCTTATATGAAATTTTCCACCATTTGTTCATTGGCAAGAACTGATCATCGTCGATCCCTCTATACACTCTAGAAATTTGTGGTATTTATTCTGATACTTCCTGTACACTATATCCCTACTGACTCATTTACGAGTACAAAATTAATTGGAATTATAAATACAGGTAGCAACGTCCTTTCCTCTCGAGATGTCTTTTATTTGTCACATGATTGGCATAATTATCATGTCTGTCAGTGAATTCGAAGTCACGTGGAGAAATGAGGATGTGTAGTGACGTTTCTAGAAGAGAAATATTTAGCCAGTAGACATCACATCCCGGGACATCCGTTTTCTTAAGAGACGTGCAGAAAATAGTGATTTTTCATCTGAATATTCAGATGATTTTGTATGTGATTCGGTGATTTGTATACTCAACTGAGACTCACGATTGTCAATTTCTTTCGATACCACAAGCAAAAACGCCCTTGCGAGAAACAAGATTTGACCTAACAAGCTTGATTTTGTGCAGGGCCGCCTCAGGCATCTCACCGCCTGTGAAGGCTACGTCTTCACAAAGTATGAAAAAAGGTAACACCCCCTAAAGAAAAGACTGCCATCATTTGAGGAGGGCGCGGCCGAGAGCGTAGGCAGAGCGGAGTCGTCTTGAGAGAAAAGCATGCTGCCACGGCGGCGGTCAGCGCACCACAGGCAGGCCGCGGGGCGGCGGGGCGGCGGGGGCGGGGGGGGCGTGAAGTGGCGGGGCGGGAGAGCGGCAGAGGGATGGGGGATGAGCTGGAGCTGCATCGAGCGGCGCGAGTCGTTAAGCAGAGACTTGGGAGGCCAGCCCGGTAAAGACAGATCGCGCGCGCGCGAGCTAACAAGCTCCCTGGGGGCGGTCCCGTCGTCTGCGTGTCGCCGCGTCGCCGCGTTGCGCCGCCGCCGCCCCCGCCGCCTCGACAGAAGCCGAGGCGGCGGTAGTGGTGGGATGTGGGCGGAGGCCGGTGTGGTGACGGTGTGGTGGCAGTTGCGGCGGCAGGCGCGAGGCGGCGGAGGGCGAAGCGGAGGCGGCGGAGGCGGCGGAAGCGGAGAGGTGGCGGAGATGGATGGCGGCGAGCGGCGGAGACGGAGGCGAGCGGCGGAGGCGAGGCGGTGGCCGGAGGCTGTGGAGCGGCGGAGGCGGCGAGGCGGCGGACGCGGGTGTGGCGGTGGGTAGCGGTGGTGCCGATTGGCGTGGATGCGTGAGGTAACTGAGGCAGCGGAGTGGTGGGGACGCGCGAAAGAGTGGCGGGGGCGGTGAAGGCGCGGTGGCGGCCGTAGTGATGTCACCGTGACGGAGGCGACGGAGGCGACGGAGCCGAGGGAGGCGAGCACCCTGGTGATCGAAGATCCCAATACAGCTGGGAATGCGAGGAGGCAAACGGTGGACTTACGGAAATTATGAGCGGGTTGTATTATTGCTGCTGTTGGGCGAAATTCGTGTAGTATTAGTTACGTGGATGCAGAAAATTAATGGAAGCACTGAACCGTGTGACTTAATTTTTTAAATAGGGTGGGTGTTTGTGGCGGGGTTTTGAATAGAAATGGTCGAATAAAGAAACGAAACATACAAATGGAACTGGAGTTACAAAATGCATTAGGTTTGAAGGATGTATGTAAACTTTTAAAACAGGTAATTGAACCAATACGAACTTATAGGAACGTTGGAACTGTCTTTTATAGAGTGGAAGTTTTGAATAATAAACTAAATGAATTTAGATTTTGATTGTGGTAAGCGAGACAAAAAAAACAAATCCAATACAAATGACCCTCTGGATTTTTACTATGGAGTGGCATACAATTTCAACCTATTTAGTCAATTGCTTTCAACGATGTAGATTTTCGAAGTAAAACCTTGCTAGCGCATAAACAACTCGAACATCTACTCTGTGGCCCACTGTCTCTTGCCATATGCGCAGCCACTGTTCGTTTCCTGAGACTGCCTAGGAAACAATTTATCATTGATTCTTATCGATAGCTCTTAGGGGAAAATATTTCCTACCAAATGAGAATTTTGTAGGAGAGAAAAAAACTATCATTCTTCATTCTTTTGTTTTTTCTTAAAACTTATTTACAATATAAATTAAAATAATAATATTACTTCCTATTCTAATCTTAGTTTCACTTGAATAGCGCTTTAATGTAACGCGAGGAAAATGAAGTGGAAAGCGATTAGTTGAAACTAAGAAAAAAATAATACAACACTGACACTCTCAATAAGTAAGTTACTTATAATATAAAATGACCCGCTGAGCTCGTATTTATAGAAGAGAAAGTAGAAAATTCATTAATAACCAACCGCAAAAACGAATGAATTCTCGTGATGTAAATATTCGATAGAAAGCGGTGCTAGGTTATCTCAATATATAACTAAATTCTTTTAAATCTTAAATTCCAACCTAAGCACTACTCTACCTCTCGGTAAATGTTTCAGAAATACTGGACGACATAACTATATTCTAAGGTATGAAACATTGTGAGTCTCTTGGAATTGCAACTGGTATCCGCTACAAAACACCGTTCATATAAAAACGAAGAATACTGATTTTGCGACTTTAAGTCGCAGTAAACATCTTTCTGATTGCAGAAAAAAATATGTTATTCAAGAACCTCGACTTTTTGGAGTTGGTTTGCTTATCAACGAATCGTTGCTGAAGCAACCACGGAGTTTTGCGCGGAGATGCAAGAAGCGTAAGCAAGATATATTAACAGGGAAACATCAAACATGCTGGCCAAGGACATACTTTCCCTCAAACGTTCCCCTGAAATCGCATCCTGACAGAAACCGAGCGCTTCCACCAAATCACTGTCGTCTTCTTTAAAGCTTTCATGCCTCTTTTTTTCATTTATTTTCTTCTTGTTGCCCATGTGGCTTTCAAGGGCCTTGGATACAATAGAATTTTTCATTGTTAGGAATAGGCATCCTTGGCATTTGAGCTTGACATCACTGCTCACGTTTTTTTTTTGGTTTTGTTTTTTGTTGTTTTTTTTTTTAGATGTTGAGGATGATTTATTTTGTTTATTTAAAATTACATAGTTCGCTCTCAACCGCCGAGCGGAACGGACGTGACCTAGCTCGAGATTGCTCGTGCAGTTATCAAGTGACTGAGTCAAGCCTTATCATGCTAGTTGCGATCGATAACGCGTTTGAATAAAGGGCGTAGTCAACGTCGTTTGCCGCATTGCCGGCAAAATACAATACAATGACTGAAATTAATAGTGCACCGTCATTAGAAGAGACAAAATCAAGGTGCTTATAGTAGTGACATAACAGAACTAAAAATTGTTAAAACCACGAGAAAAGTGCTACAAAATAATACGATAAGTGCTCAAAATGTTAACCTGAAGAAGATTTTTTTTCAAAAACTTTAAGGGGAAACACATCAGCAGATCCATCGAACTATTAAATAATGATGAAAACTGTGAATTATTACACAGGACAAACCTAATCACAATTCTCACAAGACAAACCAAAAGCAGATCTTCAACAACAGTATTACAACATCTCCTAATTCAAAACATATTCTCAAGAACACCTTAACAAATAGAAAACACCAAAACCAAATTCTACACAACAGCTTCTTCATGTCCACGGACTGATGCAAACAAAACCACGCAGAAACAAACGCGCACATATCCTCAAATTACGTATGGAACGAACACAATCAACTGCGAACCTCCAATCTGCAGAAAGCTAGCTACAGAAAATCAACAGTGATTCATCACCAGACAACAAGCGCACAACATCAACTCACCAAAAAAAAAGAGACTCTCAAAAGTAAGTAACTCTAATTTAGACGCCAAAGGCTAGAATTTGCTTGGATCAATAGTGCAAGTACATGAACATTTACCTCAATAAATAGATACTCAATATTAGAATCATAGACAATCAGAAGGAAAATGTAAAAGGAACCAAATGAAACCTCAAAGTTAAGAAATGTAAAGAATTCCCCAGATTTGCCTCAGAAACGCAGAAATAAACTCTTCTAACAAAAAGACCTAAATAAAGACAAAGGAAACGGCTTTTACACTCAAAACATAGGGAATCAGTAAAAAAATAATTTATGAAAAACGCTTTCAAATACCGAAAAGTCCAGAAAATATTGGTAGAAAAAAAGTGTTCCCCTATACAACACTACTGTAGTGCCAAACTGATGAGAAAAAAATTTATCAGTTAGTAATAAAAAATCGTACCCATAATATTCACCGAGAAGAAATTTACAACGATTTAGAAAATCTAAACTATCCAATAAAAAAAAGTACCAGATTAACTAACAGAGAACAATTACCATTCAAAGTAGTAGCATTAGAACTATCAAACTCCACAGAAGGAAAGGAATATTTAAACTAGACAAATTACTTCACCTGTTTTCTATTGTAAGTAGAATAAGAAGGAAACCACAAGGCCCCCTCAATGTAAAAAATGCTTTATTTATGGACACACAAAAAAAATTATGTGCACAATGCACCAAATTTGGTACTGTGCAGAACAACATTGGACAAAAGACTGTAAATTATTACATCCCCACAAACCCACCACCCCCCAATTTTACCTCTGTAAAGAAAATCATATGCTAGCTCTAATCATGCAAGTACTTTCCAAAAAGAAAGAAGAATCCATCAATAAATCCAAATTTAAATTACCAATTTCCCAAAGCCTCCACAAATCACATCAAAACTATGAAAAGCAAAAACTCACTCACAAACTTCCCACAACAAAACAAACATAAATCAAAATCCCACTACATCCACAATTGGCCTATTAATAACAGGGCAAAGATACAACTTCACCCACTTATGCACAAACAGTTACACAAAAATACCCATACAGCACAATCAGATATTTCACACAATTTAATAATTGCAGATTGACGTTTTCACCAAAAAGAGTAACCAAAATAAACAGCACATTATTCCCACAGTTGGATATAAAACCATTTCTGGTGGATCAAACATTACAAAATTCTCAAATATGAGACATATATGGCATAATAACAGCCATGCCCCAACTTCTATACACTTCTACACACAACACACTTCTTGAACTGGAATTGCAAATGAATAACCAAATAAAAAAAATACAACTGATTCACATTCCTTAAAAAAACACTCAATAACAAGCATGCTAACAGAAACACACCTGCACCAGGACAACCCTTTCAAAAAATCCCTGGATATAACGTTACAGAGAAGACAGAATTTGTAACATGCAGCAGGAAGGAGTAGCAATACTAATTAAAAGAAAACTAGACCACTCATTAAGTCCTATTCCAAAATCGAACAAACCTAGACTAATAGCAGTAAAATAACTGTAAAAAATGAAATATTTAATATCAATAACTGCCGTATAAACCACCTAAAAAACAATCATATAACGAATTAAAGCAGAATATTGACATAATAAGAACCTACAATTTTAATGCGGAGATCTAAACAGTAAACATGATCAAATTGGTTGTAAAGTGAATACACCTAATGGGGAGAAAGTGTAAAAATGCGATCATCAACAATAAACTTTCAAATCATGAGCCCAGCAAACCCTACTCATTACCCCAAAACTTGATGCTGAACCAGATATCCTTGACATTTACCATTTCTAAAAATCTAAAAACACACCCTCTCATGCTCATGTATTACCTGAATTAGACTCTGACACTGTCCTGTTATTCTCACCTCTGATATGAAACTATAATTAAAACTAAGTCAATCATTTGGCTTAGACACCAAAAAACATTAATTGGCGTAAAATTTCAAACAAACGTCGATAATTCCTCTTCCACAAACGATTCATGAAAAAACAAAGAAGAAATTGATATTGCCATAGATACCTTCACTAAAATTTCATACAAAAAGCAGCAAAAAGAGAACAATACTAACTCAAATTTATAAACAAAATATACACAACATACAATACCTATCGGGCTAGTGAAAAATTAATTCAAAAGAAACACAAAATACGTAGGCAATAGCAAGCAATATAGAAGCCCAGACTTAAAAAAAATACTAAATAAACTTAAACCACACCAAGTAAAACTAGTTTTAGACTTAGCACAGAACCAAACAATATAAAAAATTAACCATTAAGAAAAAATAAATCCTAAAGACAGCAATTATATGGCAGGTTACAAAACAAATATTGAAAGAACCAACAATTATAACCCAGAAAACTAAAGAAATCGGATAAAGACAGCCACAACAACAAAGGAAAATGTGAAATACTAGCAGAACATTCCAACCAAATCATTTTACTCTAAATACCAACCACCAAAACATCCAAAACAATGTAAACCATATCAATAAACTGTTGAAGTCAACAACTACTAAGTGTCTCCACACCCCACCCAAGATATAAATATATCATCACCCGAAATGAAACCATTCAAGGCCCAAACGATCAAGTACAGCCCTAACCTAAGAAGAAAATCAGCTGAATTGACAAATACAAGCCATAATTTTACAAAAACTAAATAAGAAAGCAATTAGCTATTTACTTGCAATATTCAATTCAAATTAATAACAGGCGTAACTATCCCAAAAAAAATGAAACACTCTATGAGTAATACCGCACTTCCAAAACCAAGGCCAAAAACCCAACACTTTACAGAAAACTAGTAGACCTATAAGCCTTCCCTAATTGATAGCAAGTAATGGAAAAACTAATTTTAAAAAGACTTCTGAAATATATTATGGAATACAATAACATACCACCTTTCCAATTTGGATTCAAAGAAAAGCAAACTCGACCACACATCAACCTTTTTAAGAAGAATAACAGAATTAATATATAAAAACTTCGAACAAAAAAAAGCACACCACTTGCAGTATTTTTAGATGTAGCCCCAAGCATTCGACAGAGTTGGCACGAAGGTTAATATTTAACATTACAAGATCCGGAATTACCCCTTTACTTGGTAAAAATTAATAAAAAGCTTCCTAAAAGAAAGAGTTTTTTCGGAGTAAGAATTAAATTCAATCTACTCTACACAAAAAAAGAAATACAAGCGGAGTTACACAAGGCAGCCCATTATCTGTCAACATTGTTCAATATATTTCCACAGCAGATTTACCCACTACTCAAAACACAACAATAGCATTATTTGCTTGATGACAGTGCAATACTAAACTTCTAACATGGTGTGCGACAGCTGCGGGGCCTGTTACTCAGTGTCTAAAAACAGCCACAAAAAATCTACAAGAAGGAACTGAACAAAGTAACACAATGGGCAGACATAAACTGAAGATAAAACTTAAACCCAAATAAATGTCGTTTGAGCAAAAATATTTCACACTATGCCCAATAAACACTACTCCTGAACCCCTAGAAACTACCTTAAGCAAAACTCTGGATTGGTTACCAAAAAAAAACTATTAAAATATTTGGAATATTAATGACACCAGATAACATGGACAAACCATATAAATGACAAAATCACACAAGCAAATAGACAGACTTCCATAAATTGTACCCGATTAATTAACAGAAAAACTGTTCTCAAAACAGAATGTACACAGTCCTGTACAGAGCAATAATTCATCCCCATTATAATGTATGCATGCCCAATATGGTACAACACATCGGGCGACTAATCTCAAAGAAAATACAAACATTCAAATAAGATTCTACGTATAGCTGTAAATGCCCCCTGGTTTTATTAAGAAACAACCAATTACCACACAGAATTGAAAAACAGGAAAACTTATTCAGCACATACTTCTAAACGGCACACATTCCTTTTTCCACATCTTTGCATAATATACCAACAAAGACCACTACAACCTTGGTTCATCGAGCAACAAATCCCGAATCAAAAACAGAATTTCCATATGATAAAATATCTAATACCAATTTGCTGACCCCCCCTTAAACCTTTCAGAATTAGAATAAAAAAATGTTAAAGAATAATCAAACAACTTATTGTAGAAACATCAAACAATTATGAGGAAAACCTGTTGGGCTTCCCTTATTTCTATTAAATCTAAAGAATAGATTGTATTTTTTTTTATTGAATGTGATATTGTTGAAAATGTTCACTGATAAGGATTCTGCTGATCTTATTTATTTGTTAACCTGTATTTTAAGTTGTGATTGTATGAAAACAAATCCCTGTAAAGCATTATGCTGGTCTGTGGAATAAAAAATTAAAAAAAAAAAAAAAAAAAAAAAAAACATTTACAGCTTTAATGTTAGGTTGGATGTTTGAATTGGTTTTATCATGTGCTTACGGGGGGCGAAATTTATCTTTGGGAATTTGGATTTGAGGCGGCAGGGTTCACCAGCATTTCGTCCGAGGTTAAAGTTATTGTTAAGTGAGAAATGTGAGTGAAGTATAAAAGGATTTCAAAATTGTAGAAAAGATTTGATCTTTGCATTAGATCTATACGTCAGCTCCCCATGTATCTGTGGAATTGGGGTATAAACCAGGGTTGCTGTATGATTTCATTCCTCTGAAGAGAGCTTTAGGTGGATGTAAAATTTCATTAACAATATGAAAACGAGTTCACTCTTATTGACACCTGATAACTATCAGAAACGTCAAAAGAGAGTGTACACCCCAATCATTACATCAATTTGCTGCCTTAGAAGTTTACCGAAAGTCAAATGAAAATATAACTTCCATACAGCAGCGAATGTATTCATAGGTTTCTTTACACATTAAAAAAATCCACGACAACGGGGAACCGAAGCATAATTTTATCCTTTTTAGGAGCCCTCATACCATCATTTTATTTTCTTTGGAAACGAGCGGCTTTTACGCCGAAAATATCCCCACCGACACCGCGTATCTATTGGACGTGACGAATAACCCTTCGACCACGAATCAATGTCTCGAGCGATGAAGAGGGTCGGTAGGAGACGGGCCACCCATCATTTTCCCTAGTCTGACCGCCCGCGCCACTCGCTCTTCTCTCTGCGCCAGTGGGCGCGCCTCGCGGAAAGGCGGGAGACGGAGCGAGCCCCGGCAGGCGGACCACTCGTCGGCCCCCCTCGCGACCCGGGGAGGCCTAACCGCCCCAATCCGACAAGCGAATTGCGCAAAAACGCCCGTTGCTAAGAGGAGCGGGCTGTGAGAACTCGAAGGAAGGCGGAACGAAAAGAAAAAGGAACAGGCGTGAGCGAAAAGACCGGGGAGCGGAGAATAAAATTAAGATACTTTCTGATAGAATAAAAGAAGAAATTGACAGCTTGTTACGAGAGGAAAAGATGTTATTAAAGAGAAGGAGGAAAAGGAATCGGAAAGGAGAGGAGAAGAGAAAGAATGGATGGCGCGCGCACCGAAGTTCTCCTGCTAACGTCCTGGAGAGATTTTTAAAAAAAAGGTCTTGAGGTATCTCCGTGAAAAATTGAAAGCCAAACACGAGATCTAGCGTCCCGTTAGATTCTGAATATTAACGATCGGCTGCTTCTTCTCTTTGGGCGGAGTAATAATTCAACGCGGAGATCCTCCGAGAGGCTACTGCTGGCGCGCCGCTCCAGGTGCAGACGACGCGGCGGACGGTGGCAGGGGAGGTGGATGGAATGGGTGGTGAGGGGTTCAGAGGGAGAGTGGGAATTGGGAGTTGAAGGAGAGAAAAGAGCTCTGGGCTGACGGCTTCAAAGAGAGATATAGCTTATGCAGGCCAATTCCAGTAAGCTAGGAATGTGTACTGTGAGAAGCAAGAATGCAACAGGAATTTGTAACCGGAGAACACGAAAGTTTGTGACATGTTACAAAGTGATTCAATGTCTGTTATACATTATTATAAAATTAAAATAATAAAGTTGAAATGGTAAAGGGAAATAAGATGGTAAAAGTAAGAAAAGAGTGTAAAAATATAAAAAAGGAGGAGATGAGTAGGGTATGCAAGTTGAAATTTCTGAAGATATAATCTGTTTAAAGAGATTCTTAACAGACACAATAGAATGAACGCGTAAAGCACCCGCAAGACGCGGGATGAAAAGAACGGGGTTCCCAATAAAAAAATACGAGACACAAAGTCTTTGAGTTGGTAAACATATTTGCGACAGATGACGAAAAATACCTAACGGAGGAAGATTGGAAAAGCTGTGGAGTATGGATGTCAAAAAGAGGATAATAATGAGTAAAGGCTGAAGAAAAGGAAAAATAAGATAAATAATATCTTATACAGACAAACGTTATGTAAATATACCATTCCAAGCAAAAGGAGAGTTCAACAAAAAGTACGCATAGTGAAGCTACATTTACGTCCAGAAGCCAAACAAGGGACCATCTCAGCATTTGCTCTATGGATCAGGGAAACTGGACAAAAGTCTGATCGAAATGGGGGTCATTAATCCGGAAGCTGTTACAATCATATTAAGTCTTTTAAAAAAGTTTTACAATACAAATGTAAACTAATTCATTGTATATCACTGGTTTGTTAAAATAAACATTATTTTCATTTTTGATGATCAGTATAGTCTCTAATTGTATAGAAACAGTTACGCAGCAGAACAGATTTTACTTTTAACTTAAATATGTGTACCGACTTCCACTGTTTAATGTCATCTGAAAAAGCGTTGTAAAGTAAAGCACATGTATTGTATGTGGATTTCTGGTAGTGAGCTGTTGAAACTGACGAATGTGATTTCTACGACGTGTGTTATAATCATGAGTATCAGTATTTAATGAAAAAATGTTCCCACAGTTAAATAAGTCACTTTTGACAATTATTACAGATTCGTAAATATATAGGTAAGTCAGTGGTACGATTCCAAGCTCAATGAAGAGAGACTTGCAATGGTAACGCGGATGGCATTTTTTCATTATTCGAATATTTTTCGTTTGCAATCTAAAGGTCTGGGTACTACATGCGTTTCCCCAGAATTTATACCATATCTCAGGCGGGAATGTACATTTGCAAAATACACGCAACGAGCTGCATGAAGGCTGGCAGAATTGGATAGAATACATAACATAATGAACTTAATTTAGTGTTTAATTTTGTTATATGTGTATTCCATTTGAGGTTTGACTGAATTGAGAGACCTAGAAATTTTGTTACTCGAACATCACCTAACTGCATATTATTCATTTTCAATCGAGCATGCGATTTCTGATTTAAAATGCATAAATGCCTTGAAACTGTTTTTCCTTCATTAACTATTAATTTGTTATGACGAAACCAAATTGAAACTTCTAAAATCGTACTATTTACTGCAAAGAACGTCGGGAAACAGAACCGTTCTTCCGTTTTTAATAGACGACGGCATATCGTTTACGTAAAACAGAAAGAGGATAGGACCTAAGATCGAGCCTTGCGGAACCCCATATTCAATTGGTAAAGAATTGGAAAGATAAGTAAATAATGTCCTTTCGTGCCAGACGGTATTTCTACCCTTTGAGATCGATGTTTAAGGTACGAGGTTATTCAATCTAGGGCGGTACCACGAATTCCATAAGAAGGTAATTTTGATAGCAAGATGTTACAGTCAGTAACTCAAGAGCTTTCGAAAAATCTAAAAATACAAATATACGAAAGTGTCGTATGAGTATACGGGCTATTCCTACTATAACTACTTTAACTAACAGTATGCCTCGACCAAAGGATGTAGCGATACTATCGTTACTTAAAAGTATCACTACTTTTGTTTTCTATGTTCTCAGGTTCAATAGAAATATTGGTGAATAAATGAAATTGTGCCATTCTTTTCAAAACTGCAGTATCGCTCTCGATAACGATAAATTACTGGCAAATAACATAACGACTGGCGAATCGTTTTAAATCTCGAAACGCGTTTTTTCTTTCCATGTTGTCGCTTCATGTGGCTATTCTAGATTGCCGCAAATAAAAGAAAAACTGTTTACAACTGATTTAATTGAGTGAAATGTTTAAGGAATAATTATGCTCATTAAGGCGTTATGTAATTTATTAAAAGTATATTGAGAAGTGTTTGCATACAACAGCATTGTATTTTTGTTCAATCTTGTATGTATCCCAATGGATACTGGCGATGTAGATATCAGAGGTCGATAATCCTGGCGCATCGATAATACGTTTTGCTGTTAATGTCGATACCAATCGGAGGTGGACTAATTCATACGAGTAAGGAGTTACGCGAATTCTCAGACCCCCTGTTCAACAGGGTCCTCCAGTTTCTTAAACAAAAATTTATATTAGTAATACACAATTACGTAAACAATTATTTTATAATTACATTTTAAAATTGGGAATAATATTGTTTATTATTCAAATTATTTTAGTTACTCATGCTGAATATTTGAATGCTGTAACAGGACCCAAGAGTTTCGGCATACGTCGGAGCGCATAACTCATCCCACCGTGCTACCACCGCGCCTTATTTCAAGTATCCCGACATCGTCAGGCGCGTCCTAGGGGCAGATCCCAGCGTAGCCCACAGGCCGGGCGAGCACTCACCTTTCTCCCAGGTGATGGTGTGGATGGGGAAGCCGGCGGCGGGGCACATGAGCACCAGCGTCTCCCCGGCCACGGCGGACACCGGCGGCATCTTGCGCACCACGGGCAGCCCTGCGCACACCCGGCCAGGCGGCCCGCTACCGACACTGAATGGTAGTAGTTGCGGCAGCAGACGCTATTGACAGGCCTCGGAAACCACTCTGCAGCAGCCAGCTGGCGTTATCTGAATTAGTGGAGGGGATTGGCGGGGATTACCGACGCTCGCTACAGTAGCTTTGGTGATGGAGGATTCGGCACAACGGGGATAAGTGTTTCACCACACCAGCACGTCTTCCAAGGGCAGGCGATTCCGTGCTTCCCGGTGCAATTTCGAGGCGGTGTAGGCTTAGAATGCTTGTGGAAAAAATAGATAATGCATTATGTGTGAGCAAGATTTCATAATACAATCAAGGGTTAATTTTTAAGCAATTTAATTCCAAAAACATATACGTAATACGTATTTACGTAACTAGTACAGAAAGTACATCGGGAGTACAAATTAAATATTGATAGTTTGAAATGACTACACAAAGGCACTTTCTAACCAGTTGCCTACATTAATTTTAATACGAATTCATCGACACTTATAAGTATATACTCTTGGAATCAATACCAATACGTAAGGTTGCAGCCACGTTGATTCACGTTGTCGCAAGGCTTTAGCATATCCAGATGTTTTATACTTTTTTTTTGCGGTAGTCATGCAGCTGTATATTTTGCCGTACGCATACAGCATAGGAACGCTTTTCAATCAATAAACAATAAAAGTAGGTACTAATTTCCATGCATGAATGCTGCAAATTTTAAAACGCAAGTTTCTGCTTTCGAAATCATTTGATAATGAGGTTTTTTGTGTACTTTGAAAAAGTTTCGTTAATTAAAGTTTACCAACTTATTCGAAGGTGATATAAGGACACTAAATTATGTTTAAATTATTTTCCTACGTTCTGAATTCATAGACAAAATATTTATATAAATGGAGATAATCCACAGAGAGTACACATAAACAGTTTAGTTTAATCAGAACCGCTACGAGCTCTTCTCTTAAGCCCAACGTACGAAATCGCCAATCCGTCCCTGGTAAATTAAAACGTTACGAGCCACCTAAATCCCAGGTGCAAATGTCTGCGGTGGGGCTCCCTGCTGCGGGCTGGCTGCGAAGCGCCGCGAGGATAAAGCTCGTGCTCCAGTGTCTACCCCGTTTACGCGACGGTATCACATAAACTCCCCATTTTCATTACGATACACTGCAAATGCACGCCCAGGCTGCGTGACTGCGGGCGCCTCGTGCTATCTGAGGCTGCACGTGGAATCGGCATCAAGAATCAACAGATTATAGGAGTTCAAATTCTTTACCTCAAATGAAATACGTGAGGAATAAGTCGTATAAAAATTCAAAAGTGCTGTAAAGATTAATTTTGTGAAGACAAAAGCAATGTGATTATAAATTGACAGCGCAGAGGAAATAATATCTTTAATAAGTTTCCTTTATGTCACTATAATTAAAAGACATTAAATATTGAAGAAAAATACGTAGTATTTTATTTAAAATGTATAAGAATCGACTGATTAATCTCAATCAGAAAGTGAATTGAAAAATAGGTCCACTTTCACTCATTTTAGCGCTAAGGATGCGAAATCAAAGAAAAAATGTTCCACATTAAATTTATTTATTTTTGTTAGTAGAATTTAAATTTAACGTAACACTCGTTGGAGTTTTAAAGTTATATTTTAAAGTTACGTCCGATCCGCATACGAGGGAGTGACTTTATTTAAGATTTGTTTCCTCTCTTAAAATATGAAATTTCTTAAAATCTAAATTTTGCCATATATTTCAGCACTGAATGAAACTGCACGTCAGTAGACTGAACATATTTTGATCTAAAAGTGAAAACCGTTTGGAAAAATGATTGGTAACTCATTGTAAATTATATTTAACATGGCAAGGATAACTTTGGAATAACCATAAATTCAGACACACCTGCAAACAGAGTTGAAACCCGCTGTGGTCCAATTTGCTGCCGTTGGCCAGGTCGCATCTTTGGGGAAATCTTGAAACCCTGACATGTAACCTCTCGCGAAACAGTTCCCGTACCTTCTAGGAAACATGCTTTTGCATCTAGTTAAATATGCTTGTTATTTCAAAGGAAATGCAAACTCTTGTTGGTGTTAATTTCCTGGAGCTACCCACGACTAATAATAGCAACCCACCTCGCTTGAAATAGCATTCCTTAGCGTATAGTAAATTGATTTACCTTGCGTCCCAAAAGACGTATTTTCTCGCTGCATTCCTTTAGACGCAGAAACTGCCTTACACTATTTTCATCATGCCAATGAACTGAGGTCTCAAAAGAAAGATGAGGACTCCCAGGGAAACTATGGCATGGAGTGTGTTTCTCTTGAATTTTGTAGTGAACGAAGCACACAATAAATTTATTTACTTCACAAACGAAATGTATGCTGTATAATTACTTGTATTTTAGATGATCACAGGCAATTTAAATATTAAATACTTTTAGTTCATTAGCAGTTCAACATACTGGCGATTACAATTTTTTTCAAGTTTATCTCGAAGAGATCTTTTTTTAAATACTTTTGTTCGCATATGGACATAAAATAATTTTCCTGTTTGTTGAATATTGTCATCTTGATGCGGAGCAAAAAACAAGCATTTAAACTCGCATTGTTCGTACCTTCACAATATTCGCTGCCAATCTCGAAATTCTCGAAACACATTCCACTGAAAGCTTCACAAAACGTCATCAGCATCACAAAATGCAAAGTGTAATATATTTCTACGTATTTTCGGCTCTCCAGTGAGAGATTCTGGGTATCGAAAAAGATTTATGGCAACGATCCCCTCTCTCAAATTGTGCAAACATTGCCATCTCTGGAAAAAGGACTCGCGAGAGGGCACGACCTGAGCTGAAGCAGGAATAAATACAGCTCGCGTTCGAGGTCTCATCGATCCCAGGTTTTGAGCCAACTTTGTCACACGATTTTACCCGCGCACATGCAGCTTCGGCGGGCGGGCAGACGACCTGGCCCCAGCGGTGCGGTGGAGAGGGGGCGGTGGGCGGCCAGCTCTGACAGCGG